TCTTTTTCTGTAAGTTCACTATTAGTATACAAAAATGCCTTAGATTTCTTGGCATTAATTTTGTATCTGCTACATTGCTTAATTCATTTTTAAGTCTAATAGTTTTTGATGGAGTCTTTAAGGTTTTCTGTCATCTGTGAATAATGACATTTTTACATCTTCTTTTCCAATTTGAATACTTTTTATTTCTTCTTGTCTATTTGCTATGGCTAATACTTCCAGTACTATGTCGAACAGGAGTGATGAAAGTGAGCATCCCTGTCTCAGTAAATCTGTATTACAAAGTCACTATCCTCAAAACTGCCTAGTACTGGCACAAGAACAGACATATAGACCAACGAATAGAATAGAGAACCCAGAAATCGATCCAAACACTATGCTCAATTAATATTTGACAAAGGAGGCATGAACATACAATGGAGTCAAGGCAGTCTCTTCAATAAATGGTATTAGGAAAATTGGAGAGATACAAGCAAAAAAAATTAAACTAGACCACCAACTTAGACTATACACAAAAAATAAACTCAAAATGGATAAAGGTCTTAAACATAAGATGGGAACCATAAAAATATTAGAGGAATCCATAGACAGCAAAATCTCAGACCTATGCCGAAGTAATATCTTCACCAATACAGCTCCTAGGCCAATGGAAACTAAAGAAAAAATAAACAAGTGGTACTACATCAAAATAAAAACCTTCTGTATAGCAAAACAACAAGAAAGCCCACTGCACGGGAGAACATATTTGCCAATGTTGTCTTCCATAAGAGTTTAATCTCCAACATTTATAGGGAATTCATACAAAAATTAACAGAAAGATAAACAACCCAATCAAAAAATGGGCAACAGATCTAAATAGATACTTTTCAAAAGAAGACAGAAGGAAGGCCAAAAGACATACGAAAACATGCTCAAAGTTACTAATCATCCAAGAGATGCAAATCAAAACGACAATGGGGTACCATCTCACAACTGTCAGAATGTTTATCATCAAGAAATCAACAAATGACAAGTGCTGGCCAGGATGTGGAGAAAAGGAAACCTTGTGCCCTGCTGGTGGAAATGCAGACTGGTGCAGCTACTGTGGAGAACAGTTTGGAGTTTCCTCAAAAAACTAGAAATGGAACTCCCATTTGACCCAATAAATCCACTTCTAGGAATATATCCCAAGAAACTAGAAATGCCAATACGAAAGGATATATGCACCCATATGTTCATAACACCACAGTTTACCATACCTAAGATTTGGAAACAGCCTAAGTGCCTATCATCAGATGAGTGGATTAGAAAACTGTGGTACTTCTATACAATGGAATATTATACTGTGATAAAAAGAAGGAATTCTTACCATTTCAACAGTATGGATAGAATTGGAGAGCATTATGCTAAGTGAAACAAGCTAGTCAGAGAAAGAAAAATATCACACGATCTCACTCATTTATGGAGTATAATGAACAACATAAACTGATGAACAAAAACAGATCCAGAGACAGAAGCATTGATCAGACAGTCAAACCTTAGAGGGGAGGTAGGGGAGGGTGGGAGGAAGGGGGAGAAATCAACCAAAGAGCTTGTATGCATGCATACAAGCCTAACCAATGGAAACAGATACCAGGGGAGTGAGGACAGGAGTTGGGGGTGAGATGGTGGGGGGGAGGGGGACAATGGGAGATAAGGACATATATATTTAATACCTTAATTAATAAAGAAAAAAAGTGTTGCAATATAACTCCTACAGGGAGTTTTATCATCTCTAATTTAATTTGGGGAACTTTTAGGGAATTTAAGCTTTCCAAAAGTGCTGGCCACGCAATAGTGCATTGCATTAATAATGATAATAATAAAAGATTTCATATCTCCTAAAGCAATTTCACAAACATTGTGTCTTCAGACCAATAAATATCAATTAGGAATTTCCTTTTCTCTAATTGGGGAAAACAAAACTGTGATAAAAAGATTTGCCCAGGGTTATAGAACTGGACAACAGATACCTTGGACTTCCACATGGGGGAACTTGTTCCTAATCAATCCCTGCAGGATACTGGTTCCTATGAGAAGTGCAGGAATCTGTGTGCATTCAAAGCCTACTGGGAAAGTTCTGCTCTGGGAGTGTATGCATTTCCTTCCATCAGGGGTTGCTGAGAAGGACAGCTGAAATATTCCTAGTGCTGCGTATTTGGTTTGGCCTCTTAAAAAACATCTTGTTCTCCCCCATCTCAGCCCCTTGATCAACATGTTCTTTGATCACTACTTTTTGAAGTTTACTTATTGCATCATTGGGTTGACCACTAAGCCTGATGAATGAGGCTTCTCTACCTGCACAAAGATCACCTTTCAGAATGTGGCTCTCTACAGCCCTAGGAACAGCTTCCTGAATTACCCAAGAGACTATCTGTACAAAACAAACAAACAAAAAACAACCAGAGGTCAGGAGAAGAATTTAAACAGCTAATATATGATCCTTAGGATGAAATACTCTTTCACTTTCCCCTGTTCAAAATCACGGTATCAGTGTGGGGGGGTCTGCCTGCAGGAGGAACTAACAGTGGGGGTCAGGAGGATTCCTAGACTCTCTATCCTTCACTCCTCCATTGCTGACCAATACAGAGGGTGTGATCAGTGTTCTAAGGTTTTGATCTTCAGCTCCTACCACTGGAGGACAAAATGCTGACACCCAGCCACCAACTCAAGCTAAAGCACGAGTCAAACACTTTAGCCTTGTTTTTTTTTTTTTTTTTTTTTTTTAAATACTTTTTAGTGTTGATTAGAGGCCCAGTGCACGAAATTTATGCACTCTCTTGCAATCGGGAACCTTAGGGGGATATCCATCTGCCCTGGGGGATGTCAGAGGGGATCAAGCCTAAACTGGCAGTTGGATATCCCTCTCACAATCTGGGACCTCTGGCTCCTAAACCCTCTATCTAACTGCTTTATTGCCCCTTACCACTCTGCCTGCCTGCCTGATCATCCCTAACTGCTTGCCTGCCTGCCTGATTACCCCTAACGCCTTGCCTATCTGCCTGATCACCCCTAACCACTATGCCTGCCTGCCTGATTGCCCCAACCACTCGCCTGCCTGCCTGATTGCCCCTAAGCACCTTTGCCTCATCCCACATCACAGTGGCTTCATTTGGAAGGAGGTCCAGAATGACATCCAGAAGGTCATTCAGCTGTCTGGTCTAATTAGCATATTATACTTTTATTATTATAGACAGTATTACTTCTCCCCCTTCTCCCCCATCTCAGCCCCTACTCTCCCCCTAGGTCTTCACTACCCTATTGCCTGCTATACATATAAGTTCTTTGGTGTACCTCTTGTACTTCTAACCCCACATTCAGGTATGTCAGTTGTTCCATGTCTCCATGCTTAGGGTTTCATTTTGTTGGTCAATTCATTCTGTTCATTAGATTCCACAAATAAGTGAAATCATGTTATATTTGTCTTCCTCAGATTGGCTAATTTCACTTAGCAAAATAGTCTCCAGGTCATTCCATGCTGTCCCAAAGGGTAGGATATCCCTCTTCTTCACAGCTGCATAGTATTTCATTGTATAAATGTCCCACAACATTTTTATCCATTTATCTACTGAAGACCCTGTATCTTTTAATCTAATGGGTCCTCAAATTCCTGTGCCCATCACCACTAGAAGAGCTGTAGAATACTCTCATAATTCCTAGTAAGAAAAATGCTTTACCCTATGTCCATTCACCCCAGAAAGCGAACAAAAGAGGGGTCAGGAAGAAGACTGAGTAGAGGAGAAAGGCTGTTACAAAGAAGACAACGGGAAAGGTATTGATCTAAAATTGAAATTACACTTCAAATTATTATTTCCTTTCTTCCTATACTGTTTTCTTACCATCCTTCTCTTATTTCTCACTCTACCCCAGTTCTCTCCATCCATGCCTCTCCCCAAGCCAGGGAAAGAGCAACTCCCTCCAGGTGGAAAATAAGGAAAAGAGGAACCGAAAGGCTCCAAAAGGACACCGATCTTATGATTCTTGTGCCCAGTAAGCCTAGGATCCTGCCACCTCCTCCCATGCCAAGAACTCAAACAATGGAAGAAAACCTCCCACAGGTGGTGGTACTGACTAGGCATGGTTGGCAATGCTTTGTAGCTCTGAATTCCACCCCGTAGCCCTAACCCAAGGCAGCAGGATCCTGAAAAAAGTGCAGAGCTCAAATCCAAATGGCTCTTCACCTGAGGAGTAATGAATGGGAGTGGTGTGCCAAGGGTGTGGAGGAGGGGGGCGCAAAGGGAGTAAGGCAGACGCAGCTGGAAGAGGGGGCAGAGTGTTGATATAAGCTGTGTGTGAACCAAGGAGAAGTCACTCTCCCACCCACAGAACATGCACCCGTGCCCCTGGAGCGGGGTGGGAGCTCCTGCTGAGGATGACTGTTTACCAAGGCCTCAGGCTCCAGGTCTTCTTAAGGGAAACAGGGCTGCTGCTTTTTTTTTTTTTTTTTTTTTTTTTTAATGTTTCCAGTTTTGCATTTAAAAAAACACACACACAAAAAAAACTGGAGTTGGCAGTTGAATAAGCCTGGAGGGTTTTCACAGCAATTATCCATAACAGTTAGGTGGTGTCTATTAATTGAGAATGGTTACTTTATTTTCCCCCTTGAAAACAAAACAATATGCCACTGTATATTGGGGCTTCACTGCTTGCTTCTAGCAGAGGTTCTTGAGGTTCAAATTCCTCAGAAGGGCCCAACCTGCCTGTATTCAATGGCGTGAGTAGTGCCAACTGTGGTTGGGCCAGAGCCCTCTAATCAAGTTGCAAGGAATGTGTCCTCTCAAAGAGCTCGTCTCGCTCCTCCTATAGTCCTAAAAGGCAGGTCTGTATCTGTGTACATCTCAGGGCAGGGGACACAGTGCCACTCCCAACCTCTAATCCTCGATCCCTCAGCAACCAGACGCAGACAGGGCTCTCATTTGCCCTCAGCTTGGTGAAAGCCTGGGCACAGCAGAGTCCCTCCCAGGCCCGGGACAAGGACTTACCTTACTCTGCTTCCTGTCCAGGTAGAACTGGTGCTGGCTAATAGCCATAGCCCAAATGGACTTGATTAATGCTGGGCACGCGTACCACGTATGCACCGCAATGCCACTGTGCCCAAACGTCCTCCTCGTCACAGAAGCCCTGGGAAAGCAAGAATCAGAAGGAGCAACACGTTTATGATGAAGAACTCCACTGATGGGTCAAAACTTTTATTGAGAACCCACTGGGTCCTAAATGTCCTCCTGCAAAGGTGACAGATGAGCATGCTCTGGTGCACGCTTTGGGAAATAGGTACCAACGGCCTTACTTTTATTTTATTTTATGAATAAAGTGTGTATCTAATATATGTATACAACAAGATGATCTGATACACATCCCACAGTAAAATGATTACTACAGTTGAGCTAATGAATGTACCATATTCTCATATCGTTCCTATTTTCTAAGTGATGAGAACATCTAAATCCACTCTTGGCAAATTTCCAAGATTACACAATACAGTATTAGTAACCATAGTCACCATGCTGTCCATTATATCCCTAGCCTTATTCATCCTACATAATTGCAACTTAGTACCCTCTGACCAAAATCTTATTTTCCCATCTCCCCATCTCTCCTGGAAACCACAATTCTTCGTTCTGCTTCAATGAACTTCATGTCTTTAGATTCTACTTATAAGTGAGAGTATGTAGTTCTTCTGTCTATTATAGTTGATTTCACTTAGCATAATGTTCTTCAGGTTGACCCATATTATTACAAACAGCAAGACTGCCTCCTTTATTAAGGCTGAATAATATTCCACTGTGTAAAAATACAATTCTTTTATCCATGCATCTGTCAATAAACACTTAAGTTCTTTCCATTCCTTAGCTTTTGTGAATAATGCGAATCTTTTGATTTACTGGCTCCTTTGGGTTCAGAATGAGGCCAAACCTCTGCCTTATTTGAGATAAGATGGGTCTCCTTTCTGGTCTTCAGCTCCTTGTATTGAACCAAGACAAACTTCAGAGACAGGAAAGCCTTCAACAATGTCCTCTATTAAGCAGGCCATGCTGCCTATGGTGAAAGATGAGCAAATTCTGGTCTGATCACCACAGGCCAGAGCCTGTGGGAGGTCCTAAGGAAATCAGGGTTTTTCTTACTTTAATTCAATGTTCCTGGAAAGAGCTGGTCATTAATTTGAAATACATTCATAGGGAAGACCAGGCCTTAGAAAAATCAGGAGAGGAAAAGTAGAAAGATAGGATCCCTGCCAACCCCTTCAATACCCTGCCTCTGCATGTACATGTACAGGAAGACATGGAGTATATATAACATGGAAATCTAAAAATGAAAGTAGAAAAACTTACTGTATCAGCAGCATGGTGGGAGGAGGGGTATTACTGACCATGTTCCTCAGTGAAGTGTATTTTATAGTAGGCATATTATTACAAAAGTGTGTGCATGCAAGTGTGTGTGTGTGTGTGTGTGTGTGTGTGTGTGTCTGTGTGTGTGTGTAGGGCAAGGTGATGAGACAGTGGGTGGGGATCTGTGATATCTGATGTGTATATGTCCGAAGAAAATGTGTGTTCTCAAGATTAAGATATCTAATTTGGAGAAAACTTGGGGGATTCAGGACCTGTGAATAACTTTTTTCTTTCTCAGCACATTTTCCTTGAAGAAAATTTAGAGCTGCTCTGGTCACCTTCCCTTGGGGGCTACAGCTTTAACAGTAGGTCTTCTTCAGACCCATTTCCAAGGAGATATTCAGATTTGGAGTGGGTTGGTGACGCTGATTCCAGGCAGGGTGTTTTCCCTTTTGTTAAAAAGGGAGAGTTAAGAGAAAACAACAGGGCAGGAAAGGCAGTTGAAGATAAATTTATCTATAAACTTAAAAAGAAACTGTGGTCTATAAATGTATAAATCTAAAAAGAAAATATCTATAAATTTAAAAAGAAACCCTTGATCTGAACACCTATTTTGGCTCCATAGCAATGTCCATGGAATGGCCTAACTTTTTTCTTTCCTGGAAAAGCTGAGTTAGAAAGGAAAAGTAAGTTGCTATATATTTTAGTGAAAGCAATGAGAGTTGTACCAGGCTGATCTCTTTCAGATAAGGTGAGAGAGGAAGAGTTAAGAAGCTTTCTGGTCTGGGTGGTTCCAAGTTAGCCACAGAGCATCTGAATCAGGCCCTCTGAGAGTTTTCCTCCTGCTTCATTATTAATGTATCTTTTCCCTGCATCTTTTCCTTCAGGCTCTCCCCACTCCACCCACTTTTCTGTCCTGCCTAAACCTTTTTCCAGGCAGAGAACAGCAGATACAAGGCTGGGGGAGTCAGGGCAGCGGTGCAGGAGAACAAATCCAACAGCACGTCTGTGACCCCACCCGTGCCTATCACCTCTGGAGTAAGCCTGTGCTCTGAGTGAATCCCCTGTTCCCCTACATGCCCCATGGATGACATCTTCATATATTCACAACAAGATACTCTCTTGTACTTCCAACCTACTGCTTTGGTTCTGACTCACTTCAGAGGTGTGTGTGTGTGTGTGGGGGTCATCCCTATGGATGTCTGGTCAGATTTGTCCTCTCTGCTCCAAACAAACAAGGCCCCAGCAGCAGGATAATCCACTGAATTTTAAGGAGCACCATGAGGCCCTGAAGAGCCCTTCCTGGCCTCTCAGGCCTTCCTGGCCCCTCCCTGTTGCATCGGGGCTGAGAGAGGCTCTTTTCCTCCGGGACATGGAGTATAAAGACACACACACACACACACACACACACACACACGCATGGAAATCAGACCTGGCTCTGTGCACAGGCTGCCTGGGCCCCTCGCTTTCTCTCCTCTCTTCTGTCCACCTGACAGACATCTGTCCTCCTGAGGGCCCACCTCAAGCTTTATATCCTGGTCACCCTCTGAGATTCTGCTCAGATGGGTCCTTCCTGACCAGCCTGGCTCCGGGTGACCTCTAGCATTTATGTTTTTTCCATCTGCCGCTTGGTACTGCTACCTTGTGTAGTGTAGCAGGAAGGTGTGTGAGCATTGGAGTCAGACTCCTGGGTTCGAAACCTGCTTCTATCACTTACTAGCTGTTTGTAACATAGAGCAAGCTGCTTCATTTCTCCGTGCCTCAGTTTCCCAGATGTACAGGAGGAACACTATGGTGCCTGTTTCCTGGAGTTACAGGATGAGATTAATGGAAATGGGTGTTGAGAAACATGCTTGCACATGGTGAACACTCAATAAAGAACACGCTTCTTCTTCTACCTCTCTCTCCAAGTGTGCCAGAAGTTCTCGAAGGGCCGTGGACTCTGTCTTGGTACCCAAACGCAGAAGCTACTCAAGTAATACGAAACTGAGCACCTTCATTTCATAGGCTAATGGTTCACATAATATTAACATGTGAGGTTTGGACCCTTTCCTATACCTTAGGCCCTGGGGAATAGAATTTAGTATTGTATCACATACATACATACACACACATGCACAGCATACAAGGATTTGTCCAAGGCACCTGAGTTAGCAGGATGCCTGATAGAGCACAGGCATGAAGAGGGTCTAGTCCTATGCATGGCCCCTTAAACTTCTCTTCCTTGGCTTTACTCTCTGTCCAGCATCTCCTTTCTGCATCAGACCTACGGTGGCAACATGCATTTCATTCCTTTCATGGAAGTTCCTCCTCCTTCCACACTGCTAAGACAGGTCTGGTCAGTTCCCCTGAACAGATAACCGCGTTCCATCCTGGCTGTGCCATCATTTCCAGCATCTCCCCCTCTCCCTCGCTCTGCCAGCACAAGTGGATTCCTGCTCTGCAGAGCTGCGTCTCTGGACTGTAAGGCCCTGAAAATGCCAGACAAGTTGTTCTTCTGCTCAATGCTACCGCCTTCACCTGGCTGTGAAAACAAGACTCTCTAAATGTTCTCCGTTTGCTTCTCTAGTGACTGTGGGGCATGAGTAAGCTCTTGCCCTACCTGAGGGGCTGTCTCGCACAGATTATGCAACCAGCAAGCAGCACGTCAGCCTCACTGGTTATCAGGGGCCGCAGGACCCAGAGGGTGTACAAGCCTCAGGCCCTGAACTGCACCCTCTTTGCCTGTGGCCTCAGCCCTGCAGGAGGCACAGCAGCTTTTTCAGAGGCTCAGAGGCCATGTGGGAGCAAGCTGGTGCGAGATCCTCATTCCCAGGCCAGGGCTGGGGAATCGATGGCAAAGAAAACCCGCATCTGCCCCACTGCAGAGTCTGGTCTTCCCGGGACTGCCTTCGGGCTGTAAATCCATTTTTTGGACTTACCCAAAGTGATCTACTCAGAGGTGGCAGGCTTGCTTTTTGGGAATTTTGTGCTGCTTCTGGGCTGCCTAACCTGCAGGACTGTGGCAGACAAAGAGGTGAAGCCTCAGATGCCTGCTGCCCCACCTTCCATGCAGGGCAGGGCCTGCAGCAGGGCAAACCGGGGTCCCAGTGTTTGTCATCTGACAGTGCAGCTTTTACGCTAGTGCCGCCTGGGACACGATGTGAGGTACAGAGAAAAGGAATAGCGTCTTTCACATCCAGCCACCAGGCTGACACCCTCACCCCACAGCTCCTGGGATCCAACAGTTTGGCACCACTGCTTCACTTGCAAGTCACACTGGGTGCGGACTGTCCTGCCCAGCACACCCTCAGAAGCTCTGACCAGCCATCCTTCAGATTCTACTTCAGAAAACTTCCTAAAAAGACTCAGCCTGCTGCCCAGTTTAATTTGGTGTTGGTTATGAAGAGCTAGGAATCTTCCCTAAAATGCTTAGAAAGACAGCTCCACATGCATGAGCGCCGGCACATGCAGGAAATGAGATGAACGCAGAATGGCTATTACTACTACTACTACTACTACTACACACACACACACACACACACACCCCAAACACACACACACACACACACACACACACACACACACCACACACACACACACACACACACACACACACACACACACTCACGAACCCACTGCACTTATGCATAGCACAAAACAAAGCTTTACTGCCTGATTTCAATTGTTCTCCATGATCACCCATTTCCCTGCCAAAATAAACAGCGAGACTGGCAGCACAAACACAGGATTATTTGTGCTGGTGGTCCTTGCCCTCCCAGACATGAGGATTTTCCCGGCTTACCTGCGTGGGTCATGAACTTCAACCGAAAACTTCTTTTCTCTGAAATACAGATTTTCCAACTGCCTCCACTGGAATATCTGGACAGAAAGCAACGCAGTGTAAGTTCAGAAGCGCTCGGTTCATGCAGCCACAGTCCTCCCTTCGCTGCTGAACTTCTGCAGCCGGCAGTTTCCTTATCAAAGCAGAGACTGTACAGTTGTTTTCGCCTCCTCCGCCACTTGCTTCACACACACACACACACACACACACACACACACACACACGCTCGCCAGTTCAAAACCTGGCAACGTGGGTGTGGATTTTCCTGCAGGTTCCTGAACGAGAACAAAACAAGTTCTTTTCAAGTCATTGCCGGCTGCTCTGCCTTTGTTGAGTTCTCCAAGACAGTTCCCAGCGCCACGGGAGTTTCCCTCCAAGGCAAGGGGCGGGCAGAGCAGAGCGGAGGCAGGCTGGAGGCTGGAGGGTCGGAGGAGCAGCACCAGCCAGAGCTGGGAAGGAAGCAGTAGCCATCTGCTGGAGGACTGCCTGAGGCTTCCTCCCTCCAGTGCTGAAATGGGAAGGCGCTCAAATTCCCAGCCTCCCTTCGGGACTCTACTTCCTGCCCACTAACGTGTAAGAGCTCGGACTCACCCTGGTGACTAGGCAGCTCAGGAAGCCTCCTGAGGAAGGCGGGGGCTGCCTTGACCTTATTCTGGGCCAGGCAACTCAAGATAACAATGTGCGCCTGTCAAGCCCACACTGCTTTCTGCAGCACAAAGAAACCAAGGGTCCTGCAGCTGCCAGGACGCGGCAGCCACCAGGGGGTGCGCAGGGAGGGGGAGCAGGGGAATGGAGGCAGTTCAGAAAAAAAAAAAATGGGCAGTAAAAAGAGCTCCCCCTTAAGCCCTGGTGGGCATTTTTCCTTCCAAGAGAGCACCCCTTAACTAAGAAGCTGACTGCAATTACTGAGAATAACTAAGAATGCAGCACTGCTGGGTGGTGGGAGGTGGGTGGTGAGGGATTGGGGGTGAAATGGGCGGAGGTGATTTTTATAAGATGAAAAAGAAAGTTACTTAATCCTCTGGGAAATGTCAAAAGAGGTTGGAGTCATGCACACATTACTAGTATTTATAGTTATAGTTATAGTTATAGTTGATGCATACCGTATCCCTTCTATACTAGTAGTCTTAGAACTAGAGCTCATTTTGCTCAAAGGAGGGTAAAGCAGGAATCCTCGCGGCTCCTCCCAGGGACATATGCTTTTCAGCCTATCATCCTAGACCCAGACTCCTGTCCTCTGGGGCTCCTGACCCTCTCTGACTTGCTCACAGTTTCTTCTTAAAGGAATGAATAATAAAAACGATTTATAGGATATTTTACCCTTTGAAACAGCAGGAATGGTCCAGCAAATTATTATACAAAGTGAAATAAGCAAATCAGAGAAAGACAAATATCACATGCTCTCACTTGTTCTGGGAATCTAATGAACAAAAAAAATTGACCAACAAAATAAGACCCAAAGCATGGAGGAATGGAACAGACTGCTCTTGGTGTTGGGGGAGGGGTTGAGAAGAGATAAACCATAGAACTCACATACCTATATGCATGGCACGGGGACACAGACAATAGGATGGTGAAGGCCTGGGGGTGGGTGGGTGGGGGCTGGGCCGAGGAGGATGGGGGGAGGAGGGATAGGAGACATCGGCAATACTGTCAATAATAAATATATATATTAAAAAATTAATAAAAAAAACATTAAAACAAACAAACAAACAAACAAAAGCTGCTTCTAGAAGGGCTGCATTCTTTTCTCTTCAGAACCTGCTGGGCAGAATTTGATGATTGTTCCATGTGCCAAGGAGGCGGTCCTCATGCTCCTGTATTAGAGCCACCTCCGTGGTCCACTGCTCATGCAGTACATGTCACTATGAAGCCGAGGGGAGCTATACTTTCCTTCTCCTTTAGGGGTGGTTCCACATTGGTGCAGAGACGTTTCCAGGAAAGCAAGGGACCCAAAGCCCCATGCTGGCTCTGACAGCTTGTGTGGGGCACAGATGGAATGCGGCCCTCACAGAGCCTGCAAGACTCAGATGACAGAGCTGAGCCTCAGGCTCCTTGCTGATGCCCTTATGCTAAATCCCTCAGTGAAAACCCTCACAGTTTCTCTCTGACCCTTGCTTGTCAGACACTTATAGACAGCCCACTAGAACTTGGCCACAGTCAGAAGAGCAGCAGAACCATCTGATCGCTGACAATGACCTTATAACCCGGCAGAGCACATGCTCCGAAGTGGCCAGCACACAGGCTCCGAAGTCTGACTACATCTGTGTGAGTCCAGGCTCTCCTACATCCAATTTGTTTGTTCTTAGGCAAGTGATATTTTTTGCCTCAGTTTCCCCATTTATGAAATGGGATTAATGGCCTCTTCTAGATACCGCTCATTGGCACAAAGTAAGCGCTCAATGAACTTAGATCTTATGATTCCTACTTGTTCTGACTTCTCCCAAATCCTGGGACATAAAAATGAATAACTCAGAATCAAACTTATTTTCTTTAAAAAAAATTTTTTTAAAAGCTGGAAATATTTTATTATATTAATAGTTCAGTATTCCTACTCCTATGGCTTGGCCACTCACAGATGGTGTAGTTTTTTCTGTGTTCCATGGGCTTCTTTCTGTATGTTTCCAAACTGCTCTCATCTCCCAGTTAGCGGACATCAAAGAGATCAACACTAGGCACAAACCCAATTTCTATCAAGCTCTCACAATGGGCTTTAAGAAAATACAATTTGATTATTTGCATGCTGGGCATCTCTAAGGAAGTGTACAAAATTATTCCCCACCCCCTCTCTCTTCCCTTTCTTTTTGAAGAAAAGGGTGGATGGAAGATGGCTGGTCTCTGAGGGGCACCCTCAGCCCTGTGCTGCCTCCACCATGGCCAGGATCACTGCTATGGGCCTGGGGCCCCGGTCCCTGTGCTCTGAAGGGCCCATTTAGTTTACTGCTCTGCTGTCACCAGGTTGAAATTCTCTGTAAGTTTGGATCAAGGGCCCAGCATTTTCACTTTGTACCCAGCCTATAAAGTATGTCCCTGGTCCTCATCATTGGTCCTGGCGGGCTCTGGTGCCACAGGCACTGCCTTGGGGTAGGCAGCATTTGGGGTAAGGTGCCCACCCAGAGTCTGCTGTCCCTGCTCCATCAGGAGGAAAGAAAGTAAACCTGTTGAGAGGGTGTCTGCAAACACCTCCCTTGGGCCTTTTATTTGGACTCCCCCGACCTGGTGAAGAAACTGAGCCAATACTCAGACTGGCGTGGCTCCCTGGCAGCTCCTCCCTCCCCAACTCCTTGCAAAGTAGAACAAGCTGGGCTTTCCCTTGAAGTGCTCCCCATGTAGTTGGTGTGGAGATCCGAGCCTCTGCCAACGGCCCAACCAAACCACCTGGCTCTGCTGTGGGCCCTCGATCTGCCGCCACTGCTGCTTCCCTGACTCCTGCCCTGGGCACTGCACCCTGGCTGCCCGGCTCTGGCATCTCCCAGGATGATGTCTGCAAACATTTTCTAACAGGAGGCAGAACCATGCTTTTCCTCACGTCTGCTCTAAGCAGGGGTTCAAAACAATGTATTTATTTATTTATTTGCAAAAGAGATACTAGAAAGAGAGGTGGAAGTGAGGTGAGATTGCACTGGGACATGAGCAGAATCCCAGGAATCAGAGGGATGCCCCTTTGGGCACACTGGCTTGACCCTTTCTCCTCACTGAGGGAGGAGGTGGGGCTGGGCAGCAGGGAGATGAAGGCGGCAGGATGCAGCTGTGCCCGAGGGGCTGCCTACCAGATGGCCACTCCTTGCTGTAAATACACTGCCTCTTCATGGAGTATAGCTCACAGGCCCTGCCTGCCAAATCCTCTACGGAGGCTGGCAGAGTAAAAACAAGAAGCAAGCAGACTTGGCCTTGGCTCTCTGCAGCTTCTTAGCCACCAGGTAAAGATGCCCATGTGTTTCGTGACTCCAAATGAAGGCCCATCAGACACACACACAATGACCATTATGACTGTGCTACTTCCCTTAGGACAGTACCTGTGGCAACAGAGCCAAATATCAACAGAACAATGATTGAAATTTCTTTTGAAAGCGAAAACCAACTTCTGTGTATGGGCCAGGAAGTTTCAATCACACTGTACGTGCTCGCCCACACGTGGTATTTTGTGGAAGAGCCACACTCAAGGGGCTAAAGAGCCTCATGTGGCATGAGAACCGCATTATACCTGTCTTAGGATTTGGTATAACCACTGTGGCTTATTATGTCCAAGGAGCTAATTAGAAGCTCAAATACATGGGTCTATCAATCAATAATCAAAGGATTTATTAATTAATACTATCAAATCAAGGCCATTCTAATAAACTTCATCAGGGCATGTTTAATAGGTCTGTAAACACCCCTTCTTTGATCTTTTAGCATCCCCTAGAAGAGTGAGTGGGAAACTTGCTTCTTAGGGAAAGTGAGGCCCAGAGAAACCGCTTAAGGCCACACAGCAAGCCAGTGAAGGAACCAGAAACAGGAGTCAGGGTCACATGCCCATTACTCTAACCTCTAATATGTTCCTTTCCACACAGGCCCACTAATTAGTGGGAAGAGCTCTTAGTCACTAATGGCTGGTTCATTTTATGAGTAGAATGAATTTTACAAATAAGCAATAGTGTGACTATAAGTAGAAAATATAAAAAACCAAATCTTTTTAATCCTATACAGCAAATGTTCTTCCCTTCTAGATGACATGATTTCCTTCTCTTGTTAGAGACTTGGATGGCCTTGGTAGTCTACTCAGGGATGCCTTAGCTTTCAATCAAGGACTAACAGCAAAAATCATGATGATAAAGAATAGCCTTAATGATTTACTTGTCCTGGTTCTAGTGTAGAGAAACTACTCGGAGGTGTTTCCATGGAGATAAGAAGGTGTCTGTCACCACCTTTGGGACCAGGGCTGGTACTGGATGTAATTTCTGACCCAGACTTGTATTTGCAAGGGATCACAGATCTCCCACTTCCCCTTTTTGGGACTCAATGTCCTTAAGTCTAAAATAGGAGATGGAAAACGTTC